TTTCCACAATTGTTTCACAAATAAATGCAGTTATCATAAATCCCATTCTTGTATTGCCTCTGACCCCCATCCACAGCCATCCAGCTTGGGAATTACCGAAGGGAAATTTATGTAAGCTTTGTTTTAATTGCAAACAATTCAAAGAAATCATTCCCTGCTGGGAACTCGGCCTTTTACGCTGCAGTTAAATGAGATTTTATTACAGCACGACTCGCTCTGCTGCTCAGGGGGTGAAGGCATGAGCTGTGCTGAGGTTTTAGTTACTGAAGGGTTGGAGAGACGTTGACATTCGAAAACTCCAATGGCCACATGGCAGGGAAGGAACTTCATGACTGCATTTTCTGTTCTTTATGAAACCAAGTGCAATGTTGTCCCAGCCAGACAGAGGCACCTTTCAGTGTTGCTGATATAGGAAGTCCTTTTCCACAATTTGGGTTAAATCCTGCCTTTGGGAAGGTATGATCCTGCTGCACAGGGCCCCTTAGGCTGGATTCCCATAGCCCATCCCCTGCCCAGGACTCCCACCCCAATCCACATCTTCCCCCCTTGGTAATGCCCAAGACTCTGTAGTACATTTTGTTTCTCTCTATCACTACTAACATTTGGCATCCGGTAGTTGCCTTGGGAAGGAGCTTTTATCACATTCTGACACGAATCAGATAGTTGAGAACCACTGCAGTGACAAAATACATTTTAAAACATAGAATTACAGAGTGATGTGGGTTGGAAGAAACCTTAAACTCCTCTTGTTCCACCCCCTGCCATGGGCAGGGACACCTTCCTCTAGACCAGGTTGCTCCAAGCTCCGTCCAACCTGGCCTTGAACACTTCTAGGGATGGAGCAGCCGCAGCTGTTCTGGGAACCTAAATCAATTCTTTATTTAGTTACAAAACATTTTGTGCTGTTTTCCTCAGTTGAACTGGCCTGGCAGCTTTAGCCCTTCTCTGAGGTGGGCACAGGTCAGGCTGCTCCACGGCACGTTCCTGCTCTGGATTACATTAGAGAACCATGGTGCTGATTTTCCTCCAGAAAACGGATATTAGAATGCAAAGGCAAAACATAGGCATCTGTGATTTTCAATTAAATTGTTAATTTGAACTTCATGATCAGAAATTCTCCTGCTCCAGAACTTCTGCAGCAGCAATTCACTCTAGTACAAATAATTCCTGCATATAAGGTGAATAATGAGACCAATGAGACCACCACAAATGAACCGACTCGCTGTCGGACCCAACCCTCTCCAGGATCACAGCAAAAACTCCACAAAAGCATTTTGGAGCCATTTAATGAAAAAAGCAGAATTTTATTATATGGTTTCCGTCCATTATTCGGCATTGCTGTAAATGGCTCACATTTACTGCAACTTCTGTACAGATGTGTGGCTTTGTATTACCAGAACAGCAAATTTAAATGAAAAAATAAATGTTCAACAATTCCACACAAGCTTTTACAGTCCAACATTTCACTGAGTAGGTGAAAACTACAGACTTGTTACTACAGAATTATTCAGCATGAATAAAAAACTACAACTTTTATTTTTAAACAGGAGTCACTGGTTTAATTTTTTCTTTTATGCTGTTTAAAATTGCTGTGATAAAAATAATGATTTTTTAATAATGCCATACACCGGTATGATATAGGATTTGTCCCCAGTATATATCTTTTTGTTTAATATACAAAATAGAGTAATGACCCATCGCTTGACTCTGCTGTTGTGCAGGTTGTTGGAGGTGGGATGTTTTCCACACACACACGCACACACACAGCCTTTCCTTGGATACGAGGCCTCTGGCTGGAGAGGTTCTCGACCTTCCTGGAAAATTTGGTTCCTATGTGATGTCGATGGCTCAGCAACCCCTGGTTGCAGACTGGGCTAACGATAGAGCGTGACTGGCATATAATCATGGAATCCCCGACTGGTTTGGGTTGGAAGGGACCTTAAAGACCATCTCATTACAACCCATGGGCAGGGACACCTTCCACTAGACCAGGTTGCTCAGAGCTCCATCCAGCCTGGCCTTGAACACTTCCAGGGATATAAGAATACAATCTTTATAAAATCTCACTCTAAGTCATGTCCCTGAAGTCCTCCCTCGCTAAAACTCGACTGCGGGACGCTCCCGCAGCCAATGTTCATCCAGGCACTTCCTCCTCCTTCCTACCTTTCTCTGTGAAAATGGCGAGGTCATTTTTCGGCATCAATTGGCACCTATTCCCAGCCCCCCTCCCTCTGCCCTCCCTCGTGGCGGCCCCCCAGCGCCCCCCTGTCCCGGTGTCCCCCCGTAAGGCCATTGCGAGCGCCCGGCGCGTCCTGAGCTGCCCCCGCCGTCCCTGGGCGGATCCGTGCACTTTGTGATAAGGCACTGAAGAGCCAAAGTCAGAATTCTCCCTGCTTTATCCAGAGTGCAGGGACTACCCACTGCTACACGGACTACGGATAACAGGACATGGACTTCTCACCGCTGACTAAAGCACTATGTTTTCTCACTGGTGAAGTTTAGAACTGAACAGCACGTACAGGACGATTCTTTCTCTAACATCACAGTTTCCTTTGTTTTTCCTTAAATCCACAGACTAAAAATGAACATACAGGCAAACAGACACAAGGGGCAGAGAGCCTCTCCTCCTACATGACCAGTTCTCTCATGGGGGGATCACAGAATCCCAGAATTTGGGCTGGAAGGGACCTTAAAGCTCATCCAGTTCCAACCCCCAACTCCATCATCATCTGTTGGAGTTCACTGCAGTTGCTTTTGCTGGCAAAAACGCCAAGTTTGGGGTCCGTGCACCCCGACCCGCACACACGCTGTGCCCCAGGCTCTGACCGAGGGCTCTGGGGATGCAAGTTTATAAAACATTCTCAAAAGTAAGAGCAGGTTTCCTTTGAACCAAAGAGCCCCCCCAAAACCCAGTAGCACCAAACTCCTATCTGTATCTGTATCGCAATTGGGCACGTGAGGATTCCCATGGAATTGGGCTGGATGTCATAATTAAAATCCTGACCTTTAACTGTTACAAAATGTACATATTCTGTACAGATCAAAGGAGAGAATGATTATTTATTTTTATTAAAGGTGCTGTTTTACTCCAAAGTACTGAATATAGGACCTTTTTTAATAGGTATAACATTCAAAAAGAGATTTAAGAAAGGAGAACTGAGTTTCCTCTTTCAGTTGGAAACCAATGTTTGCTGAAAGTAGAAATGTGCTGTGGACACCTCATGCTCTATATTTACATATTGCTGGCACCTGGATGTGGATTATTGCCCAATTTTGAAGCTGTTTTTGCTGTGGGAGTGAGGCTGTGTATGAAATTCCCCCGGGAGGAGTTCAGAGCTGGGTGTCCTGGCTGACAGTTTTTGCAGTGGGGGTCTGGTTCAGCCATGCCTCGGGAGCAGTTCCCGACCATACAGATAGGAGCATCCCACCCAAAAGCCAACGGGAATTTTTACACAGTGATTCAATAAACACAAACCCAACCCTACAAACACCCACGGAGCACAGGTTTTCCCCTCTGAACAAAGCACTTCTTTGGATACGAACACCGACGCCTCCGGTGCTGCCTCCAGCCAAACCACACAGAACGGGTTCCCACTCATCATATTTGTGACCCCTACAAAAAATATAATTACATGTATCATGATAAAGCAATCTGTCATCTAAAAATCATCCTTATTATACACTATACAAGCTATTTTACAATCATTTAATAAATTGCTTTTAAAGCTGCAGTAGCCCTTCCCTTCTTTTCTCGTATCAGCGAATATACCGATTATACATATTTGAAACTATAACTAAATATAAAAATATATTAGGTTTTGTATTTTCTCAGATGATCTTTCTCATTTCTATTACACAAATAATCTGGCCACTTTGAGTAAAAATCAAATTTTAGAGTGGCTTAGTAAATATTTCAATTTTGAGATACAGAAAATTGTTAAGGTGCACGTAGAAAAGGCTACTACAGCTTCTAAACATCGGAAAATATCCTCATCAATGGCAACAAGGAGAAATCCACATGGCCTATGGGAATTTATGGCACGCCAGGAATTCAGTGTGAAGGGCTGCAGCCTTACAAAGACAGAAAGTTTGACGACAACTCTAAGACCACGAACTCAGTAGCAGAGCTTTCCTGCTCTCCAGGAGAGAGGATGGAGCAGTCAGTGATGGGTGGAGATGTGGAATTGGGTCTCTAACCAGGCGAGTTTGGAGCTGGGATATCCAGTCACAGCCGTGTGGCCGCTCGGACATCTCCCCGAAGAGGAGGACTCTGGAATCCGTCCAGGAGAACAAACCCAAACCACTGGGTGCAATCACACGTCCACCTCCTCTGTCCGTGGGGGTTGCCAGATATCCTCGTGTGATGACAGGTTTAAGTGTATAGAAAATGTGAGTTTCTCCACACAGAAGTAAACTTTTCTGCAGCTATGCATATTTTCCTGAAAATTTCCTGATGGGCAGTCAGGACTGATCTTCTTGGCATCAATGCAGCCCATGACTCTTTGCGTTATGGCTGTTGCATCATATGCAAAAATCAGGCTTTTTTTTTTTTCAATATATAAAATAACCTGCTCATTTACATCCAGTGAGGACTGGGTTAATTTTCTATGAATCTGCATATCCAACACTTCTGCAATATACCAAAAGGATTTCATTCGGATCTACTGAAATGAGATTTGAGAGTGTTCTCCCACCCACCCTGGCCCTTAAAAAAAGCCAAATTATATTTTATAGCCGCTTTGACAGTTGAAAGCGATTAGGTTAGAAAAGCCCAACCCTTTTTCACATGAATCTACTCAAGGATTTACTGTCTAGAGGTCGTTTAGGAAAGCTACGAGCTGCCCCACCTTAAAAAACCAGCTGTACAATAGGCATCTTGAAGTATTACAAAAAAATTATGTAAGAAAAAATGAACAAGCCGAGTTCACGGTATATAAAGTTAAAGGAAATTGCTAAAACCAGACAGTAATAGCTATAAAAGGCACAACTTCCCTTTTCTGATATACACTTGTAAACTTTCTTCAGGTTACATGCATAAACCAAAATGCTACCTTAACTTTAAAAAAAAAAATCCAAAACACTTTACTAAAATAAAAAAACAAAACGCCTAAAAAATTGTCTCCAGCCAACTGCAGCAATTAATTAATTAGCAGAATGTTCGTAACAGCCTCAGAGCTTGTCACTGGTGGTTTGATGCATCCGGGGATGGTGCACGAGGGGAGAGAGAAAATTTCTAACAAATACGATTTACGATTTCTTTGCCTTTCCTTTCTCCCCAATTCTTTCCCAAATGGGAGAAATCCGCTGCTTCTCCAGCCTAACTCTTGGCCCTCTGTAAACCACATGTAGTGCATAATTACAAAAGAAACACCGCTGCGAGGACAAAAGGAACAAGTTCTGTAGGTTTTCTCTTTACAAAACAAAGCTATCGAGTGACGGTTTCTTAAGGCAACCCTTTGTGTTAAGGCAGTCACTTCTGATGAAACAAGAGCTTCTTGATATTTCCATTGGAATATTTTGGTATCTGATTGCTGATGATTTCTGCCAACATTTCTGGGAACTCAATACTCATGGATTTATCCAAAAATGTCTGGAAGCAAAAGCTCAGAAGATTTTCAACCACCTACAAGTGATAAGGCAAAGAATTACTTGCACACGAAGATATATAGAAGAATCACTCACATCCATCCTCCTCCCACCCAACCCCTGCCCACGGATGAGGCACATCCCAGCACCCCTCACCCCTGCTCCAACAGGACAGGCACAGGTATCCTCATTTAATTAAGTAATTCTTGTCAATGCCACTCCAATATAAACTAAACAAACAGATGCAAACACTGAAGAGATTCGGTATCAATTCCCATTCCAGCAGATAAGTGACATACACATGTATAAGCTTAATTAGATCTTTCAGGTGCCTGGTACAGTAACAAATGAAAACCAGTAGTTTTGAGGTCCCAAAGTTTCCCCTGTTTTAAACATTGCTGGGACTGCTTTGTGTAATTCAGAATTAAATTCCAAAGGAGACAGACAGACTGAATTCGGAAATTCCTTGCCAAATGAATCCTGCTAACACCACACATAGTGCTGAGGAATTATTTCAATGCAATTTCAACTACTCCATAAATTCATAACAGGTTTTAAACTTCACATCTCTGCTACTACTGCAAATCATTTACAGTTTCTGAGTTCCTCCATTTTAAAGCAATATAATTTTTAAAAACTAAAGAGACTGAAAATTAGATGAATTATAAAATTAATTGCTGCAGATTCCACTGCAGAAGCAGCCTAAGAGCAGCATGTTCACGGCTGTCAATTCGCCTTTCGTTAGACAGTAGGGGGGCATGACCTCCTCCTCCCCCGCGATATTTATCCCTTTAAATAATAAAAGCCTAGAGGAGATCACTGTCACCGCCCCAACGTGTTTATCTGGAATGCCTACAGCATTCCTTTCAGGACTTACATCATGCATAGAGTCCAGCAGTTTAGTCAGTTGATAAAATCGCTGCCAGTTCTGGCTGGAGTTCCCTTCCCTCTTCACGATGGCCTTGCCCAGCTCCTTGATGTACGTCATCCGGATTTCTTCAAACAGAGACTGACTCTTCAGGCCTTCCTTGGGAACTGCAACATTGATATGAACCTTTAAGACATTATAAAACTATGAACTGTGTCACTATTTAAGTTCTCGTACATCAGGAACTGTAGTGATAGGACAAGGAGTAAGAGGGGAAATTTAATTTAGAAATACAGAAGAAATTCTTCCCTGTGAGGTGGTGAAGCCCTGGCACAGGTAGCCCAGAGCAGCTGTGGTTGCCCTATCCCTGGAAGTGTTCAAGGCCAGGCTGGAATGAGATGAGCTTTACGGTCCCTTCCAAACCAAACCAGTCTGTGACTCTATGAAAATGACCAGAAGAAAAAGGACTTGGACTGATTGAAATGACAGCAGAGAGACAAGGAAAGAGCAGGAACTGGGACTGATGACTAGCTGAACAAAAAGCACAGGACTGCTGCAAAATAAAAACAAAACCCCCAAAGGTATTGCTCCAAGAAACAGAGGGAAGGGAATCAGTCCATGAAGGCAACAACATCCAGCCCTCAAAGTGCCTTGATGAAGACTCATCAGGGCTGGAGCTCCCGTGTTCTCCGTGTCTGGGGAAACGTGACATTAGAAAGATTCCATAAAAATTCTGCATGCCAGCGGAAGAGCAAGGGCAGAATCACAGGATGGCTTGGCTCGGAAAGGATCTTGAAAGATCATCTAGTTCCAAGCCTCCTGACACGGATCAAGTAACGCGTCCAGGCAAGGACTGACAGATTGGACAACCACCTGATTGCCCTAGCCATGAAGGAATCGAGGCACGGACAGAGCTTTTTGGAATAGGGATGGGACATTGAGACAGTGCTGGGCAGATGAGGATCTGGGGGTCAGAAACCCAAGGTGTGAGGACTCTAATCCAGGTTAAGTCCCTGTGCCTACATCCTCCTATGAGGATGGTCCTCCTTAAAGGCCAAGGACTAACATGGACAAAGGAGAACATGGACTCCAGTGGTCCATAACATCCTTCATTTGAAGCCTTTGATCGCCTTGGTGAAGTGAATGGAAAGAGCTGAAGATAGAGAAGAGAAAGAGCTGAGACAAAAGCAACTGAAAGCAAGAGAAGAGGACAGAGGCCATAAAGCACATTCCCTTCCTCAGAAAACTCAACCCTCACTGCACTGTCAGCATCTGAGAGATGCTGAAGTCTCTTGTCTGCCTTGCCTACACAGGAGATGAAACAAGTCAACTGTGGTTTCAATAATTCACATGTAAAATGTCCGTGAGCTATGTCTGTGTGTGAGCTACATGTCCAGACCCGTGTGGGATTCCTGTTTTACTCCTCCTCCTCTTGTCTTGGAAAACTTAACACAGAAACACAATAAACCAATTAAAATTGCAAAGTCGTGGATTAAAGAGCTATACAAATTTCAGCCATTCAATTTGCACAAGTTCCACAATGTACCACATACACAATGTATGTACTCAACAGAATATGAAGATATATTGTCTTTCACTGTAAATCGAATGGAGAGGCCTCTCTGGGCAGCACCAGCGCCTGCCTGGCCTCGCTCCTGAATGGGCTGAATTCTGCCAATGCTGCCTTGTCACCACTTCTGCCATGGAAATTTCTCTAAGGAAATTTCCAATTCCTGTCAGGAAAGTTGGCCTACACCACACCCAAAACACTTAAGGAATTTCTGGGAGAGATTTCAGAATCAACCAGAAAATGTTCTAAATCTGCAGTTTTGGGGAAGTTTTAAGTTCCTACAAAGCCCGTGGCTGTGAGAGGCTGAAAGTTTCCTGTGAAAAGAGCCCTTGTCCCAGTTCTGGGCTTGGCAGTGAGGCTGTGCCGGGTCTTGCCAGGCAGATGGGGCACTGGGCCCTGAGGGAATGGGCCATGGCAGCCCAGTGCCCCTGCCCACACCAATCACTCACTGCCTTGAAACGTGAAAGGCGCTGGGGTGCACATTCCTCCTGCTTCTATCAGGGAGAAGCCCAAAGTGAACAAAGTTCTCATTTCTTTGTAAGAATTAATGCTGTTATTTACTGGAAATATTAAAGATATGGAATGTTTACACCCTCTGTGTAATAAACTGTTTAAACTTAATAATATTTACTTTTCATCCTGTTCAAGGTCCCTTCCAACCCAAACCATCCGATGAAGATGATGAAGTACTATGCTGAAAAATCTTGACTTGCACTGCTGCTCTTGCTACTTTCAGAGCACGCTGGCACCTGTCACTGTGCTGAACTGAAACCAATCTGACAGGCAGAAGCAGGAGCATGTCAGCAGCTCCCTCAGCCCCGTGGGACTGCAGGAATCGCCATGACTGCCGTGGGATGGGATTTCCCAGGACACACAGGCACAGGCTTTCCTGGTGTGAGGCGAGGTGCCCGGCTCACACCCACTCCCAGCACACACACACGTGCTCCTTGCTGGGTGAGTCCCTGGACTGCAGCCAAGCCAGGGCTGCAGCTGAGATCCTCAGGGAGCTACAGCCCCACAGAGCACAGCGAAAACAAAGTCACTGGGTAACAGTGATGTCAACAGAGGGCAAAAATAACACTGTAAAAGTTATTTACATACAGTAACCAATATTAGTTATGTTGTCTCATATTAGTTTATTTCTGTGTATTCTGAAAGGACTATTGTGACACCACATTTGACCTTTCATGCAGTACAGACAGAATTTTACTACGCTGTGACTTAACTCCAGCATATCTTACTGAAAGATAAAAATCATCATGCAGCATATTATATAAATCTATCTTACAGTATTTATTGCAAATCCACCACATACTTTTGTAGATATAAATGCCAAAAGCTGGGAATTGAGTTGTTCACCTACTTGTAGAGAGGAGAAGCAATGTCTTCATGCAGAGATACTCCTCATAGGAGACTTGAAGCCGTGAGAGCTCTCGGGCGACCATAAGCATGTGTTTGCATTGTTCATACATACATGGGAGATTCATCCTCTGCCTGAGGAATAAAAGCACAGAAATTAATGACATGTCCAGGTACCTGAGAGTTCTACATCTCTGGGTTTCCACGCTGCACTCAAAGCAGTGGGGGGTGCAGAGGCAGATGACAAGCTGTACGTGAGCCATCGCACAGCGAAATGACGCTCCGTTTTCTTGTGAGCCCATGGAGGTGATTGCCTTGGTTACACAGATAGACACCGGCCCGGCACTGCGGAACGAGGCAGCCTGACGTGCTGAATCCCAGAGCCACAAAGGGAGCCTGTCTCTACCAAGGACTGTCAGCAAGCTCTGTTATCAACAGACGTCAGCATAAACTTGACATGATGGTGTGCTACCCTAGAGATGAGATTTCTCTAATTCTTTCAATACTTTTGCAAAGTGCACCTGATTTAATACATACTTCCTCACTACTGACAGCAGCAACTTTCTGTAACTTCTCAATTTCTCATACTTGTATCCTTTCACGTTCATAAAGCGATGACTAGCACTGCAATTAAATGTCATTACCTTTGTAGTGTAATAATCAAGTTTCTAACCATAAATGGAAAGTCATGTTGACAACCAAAGGAAAATCTTGGAATCAGAATAATACATTATGTTTTCATATATTCTTTTGGGGTTTTTTCCCTGTTTCAATGAAACCTTGCATCAAGATGGGAACTCTTCCTTTCATTTAGTAGTACCTCATCTGACACAACAATCCCCTTTTACAGCTGGGTATTGTGAATATTGCAGAATTAGTTTTGGGTGGGAAACGAAGAACAGATTAATTCTGAAGAGTGTACAACAGATTTGTGCTTTTCCGTGTTTTTGTTTTGGTAAAGAAAGGCAAAATAATCTGTTTCCCATGCAGTGAGTACACAATCTCTCTGCAGTGATGTCAGCACTTTATTTTTCATTAACGATGTGTCACCTTCCCAACTCATCACCTATTCAATATTAAAATCTACACACAGAAAAAATGGGATCCCTGTGAAAGTTAGAAGTAAGATTCATTTATGAAACTACAGTTCCTTCAAAGCTGATCAGTTTTCCGTTCTCCCTTCCTTAGCCCTGCAGGAGGAGTATGTGATGCACCCTCACAAGCATCTTAAAAAACCCTGACTGGAACGAAGAACCACACCTTTCTCAAGATGTAAAAACCAGAGAATAATAGGAATTCCAAGGGGGTTTGAAAGACAGAAATACAAGCTATGAAACAGTATTAAACTAGAATGAGCACAAGTGTAAAAACCCACTGTTTCCAAATGGAGCTGTTGGACAATTCCTTCCGAGTGGAACAGGACACTGCCTTGTACCTACAGCTACAGTCTGTGGGCTCACACATGAACCCAGAAACACTGGATTTATGTTACATTCCATGATCAAGGAGTAGCAGCACAAATATAAAGTGCACACAAGGTAAAGCTGCATGAAACAGGAGTAAGTGCAATGCTGGGCTGTGGGATGTTTCTCAGGGCACTTGACACAAAGCCACCATCTGGCTGCTTGGCAAATGCTGTCCTGACCCCTCCGGGCTGTATCAAAGGGCATCTCAGAGATTTCAAATTGAGTAATTTAAACACATTCTCTGACAGGGCTCAGCAGTTTTCCTCACGTAAAACTATGCCCATTTCTGGGCAGAAGGTTAAAATAAACATTATGAAATGGGTCAGCCTGTCGTTTGTTTCTGTCTGCTGCAAATGCAACCATATCCATAAAGCTGAGAATCCATAGGAAGACACACCAAGTCTGGGCAGTACCAGGGCTATGCAAACTGTAGTTCCAAAAAAATGAGAGCAGGCACAGCCCCCTCCCTTCAGTGAGGTCTGAGCACACAGATGAGCTCTGCCCTGTGCCCCAGAGGCTGCGGATCTGGCTGTGTCAGAGCACGAGGAGGCTGATTCACTGCCTCGTTCTAAATGCTGGCAGATGCTCTGGGAAGAGGTCCCAGCCATTCCCATCTCAGATCTCTTGGCCAGGGCACATCAGATGATCTCAGCTGCCACAGGGAACCTGCCCGGGGACAGGGCTCAGGTCACGGACACAGACCCGGAGAAGGGCAGGGCTCAGGGCTCTCTCCCTGCCTGCCCAGGATCCTGGTTCCCCTCCCTACACAGGCCATTTACCACCTCCATGGATTAATTTACCCACAAATAGACCAGATGTAACACTTCAACTCAATGCTATATTTAGTTAATTAAAATAGACATTGTACTCAGTGAGGACACCACAAGCGCCGCCTTCTTAGCTGAAACTACCCACAGAAACATGCTGGCTCTCAAGCAGAGCTTTGGGATACCCAGGACCAGCAATCCCAGGGAAGCTGCACCCCATGGCAGTTCAGGAGCCATTGAGCCTGGACTGAGCCACAGGAGCTCCCCAGGGACACTGGCAGGGCCGCAACAGCTCAAGGCTTCTGCAATTACTGCCAGGCACATAAAAAGACTCAAAGAGGTGACTGGCAGCATTTGATCACTGTGAAGGCATCCTGCTGTAATGGCTGCACATTTGAGTCCACCCTGAATCACCTCTTTGCTCTGTAAGTATCCAATACCCCTCTGCTTTAGGGACCAGCTTCCCAAGGGGCACAGGTGGTGTTCCAGCTCAGCACAGACCATGGAACACATGGATATACGTGTGCTTGCTCTGGGGGACGTGTGTGGATGATAAAAGCACGTGATGAGTTTTCAACACTGCTGTGAGTCACTCAGTTCAGTCAACTCTGTGAGAGACTAAAACCCAGTAAACAGGACGCTGGTGTTCTGAACACCAGATGACACTGACTCCACAGAAGGAGTTACAAAAGAACCTTGGAGAAAAAATCTGGGGAATAAGAGAACTGACAAAAACTGTAATCACTTTGCTTATAAAACTGTAATCACTGTTATTTTTCTAATCAAATACATGAATACAGCTATTCTGTATGGCAGATGAGATTGGAAAGACAAACAAGACCATGGAAGTGACCTCACACCTCAGAGCAAGGAGCTATGATGATGAACATGCAACTGGAGTCGAAATCCCAAGACCCAGAACTTCCAGGAACTTCTTTCTCAAGCTGGGCAGCACTTCAATGGCATTTGCTACTTGATGAACACAACTGTGCACTGTCACTGTGTTCACTGTAATTTTGGGCACATTGTGACATACCCAGAGGCCAAAACTGATCCAGTACCAGTGCCTGTTCCAGCAGGGCATGTTTTGAATCACAGACTGGGGAAACAGTTATACAATACTGCAAAATCACAGGTTTAAACCATTTCCAAGTACTAAATAATGGCCTAAAGCCTAAGATTTATTCAGCTGCCACACATTTCAATAACTTGAACTGAGTTTTGTGTTTTGTGTGTGAACACATATATTGCCAGCTAGTATAGATATACCTCCATTAAAAAATAAATAAATTATAGGAATACAGACATAAAAGTGAAATATTCAATACATATTCAATTTTTAGGAGAAGACTGAGCAAATGGCTAAGCTGCCATCCTAAGATTTAAGAAGAACAGAATTTAATCCTCTTTCCCACCACAGACTGCATGAGCTACTTGATCTTGCTACTCCATGTAAGTAAACTGTAACTACACAGGATGATACTGGCCAGGGCTGGCACAAGGATAAATGCATGAAAGACGGATGTTGCTCAGATGCTTGAGCGGATACATGAAGCTAAAGAAAGTCTAATTAATCCCATTAAAAAATCCATCTTAAAAATGTATTTTGTAGTTAGGTCCAACTGAACCACCATTTCATTGGAGACCCTTCCAAAATGGGAGTTTCTCTTCCTGAAGCGGAAGATACTGAATTGCACCAAATATAAGGACAAGGCTTTAAAGTTCAGAAACTGAAAGAATGGTTTCTAGAAACCCGAAAATTAAACCAGAAGTAACTGCACTTCCCTGCAACCATGGAAGTAATTCTGCATGCTCTGGTCTGTGTTATCCCCCTGCCCCATTGTCAGATACCAACTATTACCGAATCTATCCTACGTGGCCACATTTGATCATTCAAATCCAAGGGCATTTTTTTCTTGCAGTAAAATCCAAGTGCATTTTTGCTTAAGTGCCCATGATGCCTCTCCTGTCCTGCCCAACATCACAGCCCCAGGTGCCCCTCCAGCTTTCCCTGCTGCAGAACCTTCTCATGACTCCTGCAGCGGTTTTATTGACAGTCAGTGTTTGTCACATTGAACTCCAAGGTGGCTCTCTTTTATTGAGGGATGGGACTCAATAAAAAGTTACGACCAGAGAGTTTTATGGAGAACCTGTAGCTCACTGGAGAAGAAACTGCAGTTCTCTCAGTCAATGTGTTTTATTGAAAACAAATGTCATTCTGATCTACAATTTATGTACCAAACTGTAACTGGAAGGAATTTAAGAATTACTATTTGCTATAACAGGGTTACCCTTGCAGCTTTGTGTTTTTCAAGAATATCAACACCTGGCTGTGAAGATCTGTGGTTTTGAGTCACTGATAAAACAGCAGGAGATCTCTGATGTAAGGCAAAGTAGATGTTGCTACACTTAGTGACATCAATTATTTCAATTCCACCACACAGAGATTATTCTGCTCCAGAGACACATTCTAAGCACTTTAATAAACATAAGTACACACATGGGCCCTCACCTGCCATCTCCTCCACACCTTTTTTCTGAAGTTATTATAAGGCAATGATTATAGTTTATAGAAGTCTGAATAAACATTTACACAGGGGAAAAAAAAGAGAATAAATAAACATGACAAAGGAATGTAAATGGCTGATCCCACAGAAAATGTAAAAACTGTTATTTTTTTTTAAAACACGGAAAATATTTGGGAGATCTGATTCTGAAGCACAACAGAACCAAAAATACCGTGACTGTGTCATCGTATTGCCTCCACTGCAAGGCCATGAAACAAGAGACATGAATTAGATGCAATCACTTCAACAATCCCAAATTCCCTCTTTCCCTCCTCTACAGCACAGTTGCTGCACAACACAAATTTGGAAAAATACAAGGATAATGATGTGTGGTGCAAGAAAAAATATATCTAAATATTCCACCAAATTCAACTTTGTTTGAAAATTGATAACAAAGTTCAACAAGAAAATATAAATCAGGAAGGCTGTCTTTTCAGCCCTACTTTAATCAGGCTCAGATAGAAATGTTTAAGGAATCGGGAACTCTGGGAAACTGGTAGGACCATATTGCCACTTTTATACACTAAACAGACAGAACATTATGCAATTTGCCAAAATTTTCTCTCCATCCCAAACATATTTTTAGCTCTGACTGTGTTGGCTCTGATAACATGAATGATTCTAGTGAATGGTGCTGGAACAGTCACAATATGGAACATTTAAGCACAAACACCTCCCACAAAAACTCCTGGATATAAATACACTTAATATCTCAATTACCTTTCTTTCATTTGACTTAGTTAAAAACGCTAAGCAAGCTGCTGAAAGAAAAACAAGTTGCAAATGACAGGCAGATCTGGGATCTCTGCAATGATTTGTTACCCAGTGATTCACCCCTTGAGTGCAAACCCCAGAAACGCTGTGGCAGGTCTTACTCACTCGTTAATGATCAGATCTGGTGCGAAGCACAGGAGATTGCCATTGGATTGCTTGTAGGATCTCCAGCCTAAAGCAAAAGCCATTAGGAACATCCAGGAGTACTGCAGAAGGGTCATTTGGTCATCCAGGTGCAAATTTCGGAAACCTAGAAAAATAAAAAATTGAGGGGAGGTGGTGTCAGTTGCAAAAAAAAAAAAAAGGACAAAAAACTTGCATGAGTTGGAAAAGGACCAGGGTTATGAGCAGCACAACTGCTGTGTTATCAGTGCATAGGCACTACAGGGAGTAAAAGGGGATGTAATATTTAAAAATCATAATATATGTGTATGTGGTTATCTGGAACTGATGGTCAGTCAGATAGATCACAAAAGGCAACAATTGTATTTCATATACACTATAATTCACTGGGCTGCCTTCCAAAAATAACAGGGCTTGCTACTTTTCACAAGAGCAGTCCACCAGACAATAAATAGCTTAATGTAAAATTCCGTTCTTATTCAACAACTGTACACAGAACTTACAAAATAAGTACTGCATTAGTTACCAGCATTAACTGCTTCTGATCTCATATGCAGCATTAACACAGCCAAGTGAACAAGGAGGAAATGGGTAAAATCTAACAACTGGTCCCTCAAACAGTCTGAAAATGCTGGCAGCTTTGGATTTACAACACTAGTTCCTATCAGATCCTGCCTACATTTAGCAGGAATTTATCATGCCACACTGAATCATTATTAGAGCCTGAATTCAAGTTGATTTTATCTAATTTTATTAAGCATCTGACATCTAAAGAGCTCAGAACATCTAAAAAGCTGCTTCCTGAAGATGTGCCAACAGCCAGCAGTCAGTAGATGAATACAGAACAAACTTGGTTCGTCTGACAGCTTCAAACACAGCTCCTGGCTTTGGAGACAGCAGGAACAACCAGGTACTGCTTCAAAAATACCAAGGGTTTCAAAGTGATTCCAATCTTACGGGGTCAAACCTTGAATCTGTGCTCAAACCCTCCTCAGGAAAAGGTTATTCTGAAATCCCAGCGAGAGGATTTGGCAAGGAATGCTGGCATGCTGTCAGCATGGCTGATGGGCTACAACCAGGAGCAGGATATACAATTAAATACTCATGAGGAACCACCCCAGCAAACAAAAGAAAGGAGATAAAAATGATAAGTATAGTTGCTATTAATGTAGTTATTAAAGAGAAGACTGGCATTTCCATTGAGAGCATATGCTCTAACCTGAAGGGTTTGGCTAATTAGGGAAACTGTTCAACAGAGACGATGAACACAGAAGTGTTTTATAAAATGGAATCTAAATTTGGATTTGGGAATACCAGATGGTCTCCCAAAGACCTGTCCCAGAAGGAAGTGTGTGCATGTGAATCTCTCCTAGAGCAGACTGAGCTAATCCCGTGTAACTTCCCAGTGTGAACAGCCCTGACACAGAATCACCGAAGTTGGAAAAGAACTCCAAGGGCATCAAGTCCAACTTGTGACCAATCACCACTAGAACAACTAGAACACACACAAACCTCTCCAGTCACATATCTGCTGGACAAAGATATATTTGAGTTTTCCAGCCTTTCTTTCTCACTGTTAATTTATTTCCTCTGCTCAAAGAGGTACTATTATGATTCATAAATCTCATTATCAGACTCTTTTTCCTTTTTTTTTTTTTTTGGCAGACCTGTTCTGTGATGTTATTTTTGGGCAACACATGCGTCATGGAGGTGTTTTTGCCAGCGTTTCTGAGAACAGGTAGGTAACAGTACTGACACGAGTGAGAGGGAGATAAACACTGGTCTTTGTTCTGTAGGAATAAACAGATCTTCAGCTATCCTTGGCCCTGGCCTCTCCCGAGACAGATGCCATGTGTTATGTCCTAGGCTGAGATCTGACATCACTTCTTCCGTGTCTAACTGTGTCTTCAGGTGGGAGCCAAAATAGCAACAAACCGCCCCCGTTCCCCAGGTAAGAGTCAGTTTAACTGTGCTGCTACAAAGCTGGGGAGCAAATGAACACCTTGACTTCCACCCTGGAATTCAACAGTCAAACACCTGTTCCCAGTCAAGAAAAAACTGCAGATACAGTGAAGGGGAGTGAAAAAAGAACCATCCATGAACGCAGACCCAGAGAAGCAGCACAGCAGTGCTGGTCTGTAAAAGTCAAGAGGACTTGCTAAAAATATTCAAGAAATAATTATTTATTGCCCGGAGAAGCTGTGGCTGCCCCATCCCTGGAAGTGTTCTAGGCCAGGTTGGATGAGGCTTGGAGCAACCTGGTCTAGTGAAAGGTGCCCCTGCCCACAGCAGGGCATGGAGCTTTAAGGTCCCTCCCAACTCAAACAATTCTGTGATTCTGTGACTCTAAAAGGTGGAGATAGAGCTAATAAAAACAGTCCTCTATATTACTTTTAAAATGAACATTAAGATCCAATGGTCAAAATGTTCAAGTAAAATGAGCTCATCTGTAGTAAATACATTTCTGCATCTGCATTTTTTTCTACTTTTCTACTCCAGAAATAATTGAGACATGAACAAGCCAGATATTACTAAAACCTCATCTGTACAGCTCTGAAGGAAAACAAACACGGAGTTTAAGTACAATAAGACTGCACTCAGCAATTAACATATTTGTGTGTTACCTGGGATTGCCTTCGCCCACTTGACTGCAGCCACCACCTGCCGCCCTCCCAGCATGTTGAGGGTGGAGAGGATCCTCCAGCTGGAGTCGGGCAGGGTGCTGTCGTATCCCGAGTACAGCACCTCGGGCTCGATCACCTCCAGCAGCGACACCAGAGTCGGCGTCAGCTGCGGCAGCGACGCGGGGACGATGCTCTTGTTCCCGGATGCCTCGGGAGCATCCCGTGTTCCCGTGGCACTTCCCTGCTGCAGTCCTTTGATCTTCTTCTTTGTTTTGCGAGCTAGGAAAGTTTGGGTAAGTCACAGGTGAGGTGATGGAAAGTGACCGCACTGCAATAAAAATGCAGCAGAGGAAGCGCTGCTTCCCTCCTCCCAGCAGCTGGGACCAGGCCACTGAAACCTTCACAGCATTTGTGCATGAAGTAAATAATTTCACATGAATTCTAATTAAGCCTCCATTGAAAGTAAGTTTGCTTCACATTTTAATAAAAGTCACATTTATGTTACTGTTTCCAAATGTTCAATAATGTCTGCAGATACCTTACAAGGCTGATCCTAAAATACAAGGCCAAATCCTACCATTGGAAATATGTGCAGGACTTTAAAAGTTCCTGAAGATACTAAGTATAGGAACCAGGCAAAAGAAAGGAAAAAGTATATTTAATGGGTAAGAAATTACTGGATCTCTTGAGCCAGGGAAAACAGGGGGTTTTTTTTGAAAATGCTGGGCAGGAGGAGGTTTTTCTCTTGCCAGTTTCTCCTGCATATAAATCACTGCTGTGTAATTAAACCATAAAACTCATTCGCCAAATAAATAAAACATCACACAGAGATGTTAACTGTAAACTACAAAAACTTGGAGCAACGATTTTATTAGCATCTTGTCCATAATGGAGTCTCCTGCTTGGCTCTGGTTCTCCTGGATGGAGGCGGCCACACAGAACACACTATTTAATGGAGACCAAATGAAACCAGTTCTTTCCCTGGGTGCCTCAGTTAATTAATTGATTTCTGCTCTGGAACTTCTGAGATAAATCAGTAGCCCATAAAAGCATCACGTAATGTGGTTTCACATTCAAAGTTCCTCCTGACCCGTTCAGAATCTCTCAGCATCCAAAATGCACCAACCCTGCAGTGTAACAAAACAGGAAACTCTCTCCTGGACTCACTGGCTATGACATGGCCTTCAGAAACCAAATGTTAAACACAAGGAATTCTCTACAGATCTTGTATAAATTGCATTTTCCCAAATATTTGTAGACTTGGCCACATGTGCCAAACCTGCCGTGGGGGAATAGCAACAGTTATTTCCTTGGAGCAAAGACCTTCTTGTTATTGTCTTAATTTTGCAATGGCTGCTCCAAAATCCTTTCCACATTCTGGTGGTTTTTGCCCCATTATCCATGTTCTGAAGAGCAAATGAACTGCTTTGACTTAAATTTAGAAGCACATGCCTTCAGCTTCCTGCAGACACCTGGATGGAGTATTTCCAGCCCAGAAAGCCTAATAAAATTATAATCAAAATAAATAGATCTGATAAGGCAAATTATTATGCAAGAATTTTTATTAGGCTGTGTTACTAGTCTTGACTTAGATATATAGCTGTAACTCACAAAAAAAAAAAGGTTGAGATAATGTATTTCTGTATAATTTATTTTCAAATATAAAAAGACCACTAATTTAACCCCAGCTCCTTAGGGCATGTTACAGGAGATAACCCCCACAGATAAACTCAGCATGGAGAGAAAAGCATCCAAAATTTGCTGTTAAAAACAAACAAAGCCCCCTCAGCCTCCTACAGTCTGGCATCCACCCAGGCTGCACAGGCTTCCTATTCCCTGCCCTGTGGGCAGATGGTCCTGCACCTGAGCCAGGTGGGCAATGGGCCTGCCACCACCACCCTGGACAGGCAGGCACTTTCCTGCTAAACTGGGATTTATAACAAGCCCACTGCAGTTAGAGCGGGGCAGGGAATGGGATTAGAAAAAAGAAACGATCCTTCAAAAATCTGAAATAAATTCCAAGTGAAGACTGCAGAAAAAACTCATAAATTGCCAAGTTTAGCTGTAAAAAGCAGCATGAAAAGCCAAAAAAATTATAAGACAACTTTTTACAGGCATAAAACCTAACAATAAATCTTTTCTTCCAACACATCACAAAGAGAAAGGGTGCCAAGGAACACCAATTAACGGTGGGAGCGGAAATGAGAACTCAAGGAAATAAAGGCTGGAGTACAAAATATCATTATTCTGCTGTGTAAATCTCTAGTACCTGCAGCTTCATAGCTTGATTTTTTTCCAGGCCCCTATGCCCAAAAAAACATGGAAAAGAAAAAAGAAAGTTCTAGAAAAGGGTGATAAGCGGGGCCAAAGGGATGACTTGATGATCTTGGAGGTCTTTTTCAACCTTACTGACTCTATGGATAAAAAAAGGCCAACAGAAAATTAGCAAGTAATATTTTTCTAGGGTAGAAGGAGCCATTTTCATCTCAGGACAGGAGCAGGTCAGGATTCTTTTACTGATTTGAAAATAATTAGTCTTCTACCCAATACCTAGCAGTGCAATTCACTGTAGGTATTAGAAACTGAGATACCCAAAATGTGCTGGGGCAGGTTCACAGAAGAAGTCCAGCAGCACATCAGGTGAGTGCAAGGGGCCAAAAGACTGACGGGCTGGATATCAGGATCTCTTTTGATCACTCACTGGTTTGCTATAACCATTATTTATGCACTGAGGATGCAGCAGGGGATTTGTCAAAAAGAAATTACTGTCTAAAAAGTATGCAAATTTAATTTTCTTTTAAACAACAGTAATTTCTGAACTGTGACCCTAAAATAGACAAGATAAAAGAAACTGCTTTTCAGTCTCTGCTGCACTTTATGCTGCCTCCCAGTTTGCTTTTCTGCACGACCTATTCCCCATCTGTTCAGATCTGTCCCATAAATCCTTGTTTTCAGGGTGTTTTTCACCCTTTCACACTACTCCAAGTTCTTCCATTTTTGTGTTGCTGAGTTTCAAGACTCCTTTTCCCTCTCAGACATAAAAACTTCACCCCCCCCGCCTTCCCCAGCAACTTATATAACAACCTCCATCCTCCAAAACCTCACTATTCTCTAGGATTCTCTGTGCCAAAACTGAGACAAACTACACTGGAAGGGCTCCAACCTACATGCAGAGAAGTGGCAAATATCCGATGTCATTCCATTTCATTTTCTTTGCTGCAGAGGGGTCACTCAACATGTCAAGGCTAGGCTGGACGGGGCTTGGAGCAACCTTGGTCTACTGAAGTGTCCCTGCCCATGGCAGGGAGTAGAACAGGATGAGCTGTAAGTCCCTCCCAACCCAAACCATTCCATGGTTCTCTGCTTCTGTGTCCTGGAGCCTGACACAGCGATATTGGTGTCTACTTAAACTGATGCAGGAAGGGAAAGGCTTACTATGAGAGTTCTATAACTTAGTATCAGAATACTAATCCTAATAAAGTGCTTTATTCATATAAATAAATATATGAATATCATAGATGTATGTTGAAAACAACTATGAAGAGAAAAATTAGAAACAAGCCTTAAACCAAAACTCATTCTTTTCCACCTCAAAGCAAAAACTCTGGGGTTTTGCATCATTTAAACTGTCTTTAGTCTTTGCTGTTCCCTGTCCTTGCTCCCGGCCACACCAGCCCCAGCAGGGCAGTGACCTGTCCTGAGTGGGTACCCAGAGTAGGCTCTGATCTCTGAAGTGTAAGGTCCAGCCCACTGGGAGTACCCAAAACCTAAATCCAGCTCCTGGGAGACACTCACTGATGACCTCGTGCTTTAGTGATTTATTTTAGAACCCACTATTGTAGATCTTGGCTGTACCTTCCCATCCTGCACACGGATCATGGTAACACCTCAACAAACTGAGCAGCAACATCCCTTCCTCCAGCATATCTCCATCCTGAAGGAGGGGATGTGCCTGTAAGTGGGTCACAGAGCATTTCAGACCCTCGGCTTTGTTCCCTCTGCTCTGAAGGAAGGGGCAGGTAGAAGCACCTGCAGCACAGAAAACCTTGTGCTGTGTCCTGCTGAAGGAGGTTGGAAGCAGAGGAGGAAAAAAGGACGTGCTAACATTGACTCCAGTATGTGTTTCATCTATCTCTTTAACTTAATTCACCACTTACATCTTACCAAAGGATATTATCACTGACTGAAATGGAATTCTGTTCATCCTTGGGAGCTGACAAATATACTTTTGACATTTTCATTTTATCTGACAATTTTCATTATACAAATACCACACAGATAACTGTGTTAGGAAGTACTGTGTTAATCTCTGCTGCTCAGGGAAAAATAGCAAGCATAAAATGTAGCTGACACTAATAAAAGTGTTTTATGCCATTTTACAACTGCTGCTAAATCCTTAGTTGACATGGCCTTCAGATTCTCACAAGCCATTGAGGACTCAGCAGAGAACAACTATGTACTGGTACGTTAAATTTATTTACTTAACCGACCTTTCCTAGAGAGATTTTGACAGGTACTGAGGAAGAATCCACAGCATCAACAAAAATACTTCCATTTTCTTCAGTTTGAAGATATAATCCCTGCTCCTGCCCATCTTCTCTGTGGTTTCAGTGTCAAGTCACTCTCCCGAGTGAGGATGAGCAGACAGCATATCTCCCTACAGGTGTTTAATTTCCCTCCAGGTGTTCCCCAAGAACTCTCCTGTCTCAGATTCCATGAAAAAGCAACGAGATATATATGTGCTGACAGGAACAAAAAATAACCCTGGCTTGTGTGTATGATTCACTTCTACTGAACATACTGACAGACAGAGCAACTGAGCACAGAAAGGAGAAACAGCATAATAACCTCCTGCCTCTCATTAAAATGCTCATGAAATGCAGCACTTGCTTTTAACATATTAAAGTGCTGCTCCAATCATTGCTTCATTAGCAGCCTGGCCTTTATTGGGCAGGATTTCAACCCAAAGCAGGGATGTGGACACATGGTTACCTTCAAGGTTCATGCCAGCCTGCAGACATTTCCGGTAGCGACACGCCGGGCAGTTTTTCCTCCGGATTTTGTCAATAATGCAGTCGTTCCTCCCAGCACACAGGTAGTTGTGCTGCCCTGTGTGCACAAAAACAAAACAACCATAAGCTCCCCGAGTAGAGCAGTAGCTGAAGCCATTCATCCTTTCAGTCATTAAGGGTCTGGAGACAATGTAAGACCTTTACCTACTGCACTACATGTCTTGCAAAAATATCAATATACATCTGATTTCATGTATCCAAACAGATTTCTCATAATTAGACCCTGAAGTCAATAAATTTAGTTCGAAATCCTATTTTTAATTTGTTAGTATCAGGCAACTTCTATTTTTAAAACTGTTTTTCCCTTACATTTACCAAATCTTTCTTCTACAGCAGGTTTCCCATTTCTCTAAATAGTTTGACATGAGATACAAATAACATTCACAAACACATCTTGAGAATACACTTGGAAAGATTTCTACAGAGGACAGACACAGCTTCATCAGTTTGAAAGTCATGAAACCTTCTCCTTGTTTAACTTGCAGCCTGACCCAGACAAACCGAGTTCTCTGATATTTTTCTGGATTCACAGATTTAGAGCAAAAGTGACCCTAAAAACACAACTTGAACTACAGAAATTAAGTAACTATTTCTTAGCTATTAAGAGCATGGCAACAGAAGAGTATATAGTCTTAATTATTTGAATTATATGACCAAATGCCTCAATATAACTTACTAAGGGAAAGGTATCTAAAGGATAGATCCTTCTCCCAGAGAGGGATCAGGAAATATGTTTCTTCAGAGGGCAGAAAGCTGCAGCCTGGGCTTTTACACCACATTGCAAAGTTGTGACAGCACAATATTGTGAGAAACAAATGTATTTTCCAAATACACAGTTATTAACAACAGAGTTCAAGAGTCTTCTCACAGTAAAACAGCTTGGGAAGGAATTTGTTTCAAGTCAGCTGTGAAAATTATGGGCACACAGAGTCCATTCCTATGGCTTTGGTCAAACTTATCCCATGAAGTGTCTCAAGTTGATATTCCAAGGAAGCTCTTAACATTTTTTTGCATGAACTCTCCCACCTCTTCTGTTTGGGGAAGAGGAGCCTTCCTGACCCTTGTGTAATCTTTGTGTTTAATCAACTTAGACAACAGATCCAGGACTCACTATTCTGTTTGCCATTAGCACCCTAATACATATAAACAAATATGAAATACACACACATGAAATATAAACTGATGACAATTTGTCAGCACTGTAGAGGAGCAGAGACCACAATTCCATGTCTCTCAAAGATGTTTAATGAGACCACAGTTTCACCCAACAATACAGATACTTCAAGTCAAGATTTTCCTGAGCTGTTGTTCCATTTTATTCCTAACAAAGAGGCTCCTCTCCATGACGGTTTGGTTTCTTCTACTTACTTCTCACCTATTCTTGCCTTTTCTGGGGGCAAGCTACACTATTTCTTTGACTTACATTATATTAAGCCTTCTTGCCACGTGAACATCTCATGGGAAAATGAAGGGAAATTAATCTCCATGCCTGAGTGCTGCTCAGAGGACGCGCCAAAGGAACGTACTTCAGTTCTCTTCATTGCTCAAAACCCAAAGATACTTCACAAATACTCTGGTAAACACCAGTAGTGAGCCAATGGAGATGTTTCCAAGGGGATTTGGGGCACACGGGGGCATTTTACAGAGAGGTTGGCTATTCCACAACGTCGCCCTGCCTGCAGCACCCGTCGGTGCCGGGGTCTCTGATGCTCTATGACACTGAACAACTCTTTGCTCGTTTGAGCACAGTAGCCCTATAAAAAGGTTAGAAATTGCAGACAAAGGACTTTGGAAGATGGAATTAAAACTGCTGACAAACAGGGCTAATCTGGAGCACAGCAGGAAGGAGAGGTGTTGGGGGAATCTGCAGTGGAGGGAGGTGTGAGGATCTGCTCCAAGGCGAGGAAGCGGACGTGGGAGGAGCGGTGAAGATCCAGGTTGGTGTATTGGGATAACATGTTGGGAGGTGAACAGGGCTGGTTCTGCGACAGGAGAAACTCGATCACGAGGGCTCTAGACTTTGAAACACCATGAAAATCAGAGCTAAAACAAGATCTCTGGCCTCTCTGGGTTCCTGAAGGCCTGTTTGTGTGAAGAACTGTGCATAAATATACAGTTGCTGTCCCACCTTCATCCTCCCTCTTCTCTAGTTCTATTCTTTGCTGAAAGGAATACACTTTACATGGACTTTCTAGACACTGACACTTTCAGTTTCTGTGACTGTTTCTGTCACAGTCCACAGGCCTGGAGGCAAAGGTAGAAAAAAGGGCTTTGGCTAAAGGCTGGATAACCAGTGTGCAGTCAGCTTGATCTGAATACTAACAGGTGCCTGGCAGCTACTACTAAAAAGGATATTGCAGAAACAAATTCCTTTCACATGTGTTCCTAATAAAAAAAATGCCTATAAAAGACAAGAGCAAATTATTTGTTCCTTAAAGTGAAGACTAAGACTAACAGATCCTGGAAGGGTTCCTGAAAACATCCATGATATCTCATGGAAGGATTAAGGGTCCAGTTCACAAGGTGGTAACCAGTAAAAGGCCAGACTCTATGATCTTGGAGGGCTTTTCCAACCTAAACGATTCTGTGATCCTGTGAAGGGTGGGATAATTTGTGGAACAATAAAAATGGAAGCAGAGTAAGCCCTGAGGATGTGATTGCCATTTTTCAGCCACAAGCTTGCTTACATTTTTAATACCAATACAGCTGATATATGATGAGTCAAGCTGCATCACTGATCAGAAGGAATCACTGCATTGCTTCTTTCCTATATCAATATTTTTCTGATTTATTTAAGCTTGAGAACAGGCAAAACCATGGCTATGCCACATATCCAGCTGTCATATAATATATCTCCTGAGGGATCTCCAGTGACCTGATTTTAATCAAAGGTACAGATGATTATTTGCTTTAAATAAAGTGCTTTGCACTTGAGCTCCCATTGCCTCATTATACTTCAGAACAGCTTCAGCTCCCCCAGGGCCAACATCCCTCCCCTTGTGACAGGCAAAAACTGTGATGTGAACTTGACTTTTCCGATCCCTGTGAGAGCTCCCCAGAGCTCCCCATGGCATCCACTGAGCTGGGAACCGGGGGAAAGTGCTGCTTCTAAAGACTGAATGATGTCTCGTCTTTATCAAACAGCCTTCTCTCTTCTCCAGACATCCCAGCTCACCAAAATGTCAGCACAAAATGAGTCTGGTTCACTGGAGGATGCACGAGGAAGGCACAAGACAGGAAGCCCTGGAGGCTGTAACTAAGAATGACGTTCTTATTCAGAACTCAGGAACCACCATCCTTTAAGAGACACTGGGAATATGCTCCAACCTTACTGCATCTGATATTGAAGCCAAGAGTCACATACTAAGGTACAACCTAGTCTGTCACAAAATAGCTACTGATGCAGCCCCAAAATCACTGAGCCCTTACTCACATTTAGTTTTCCATCATCTCTAGTTTCTACATAGATTTTCTCCCTGTGATTAGTCAGAAATCTTAATCCTCCAAAACCACACACACGTCTCTGTTACCCAGATACCTGCAACTCAAACCGGGACATGGATGCAGTTCAACCAACAGTGCTTACAAGACAAACTGCAAAAATACCACAACCTCACACACAACAGATTTACCAAGTTTTTATGCACAATTCTCTATACAAACCAGCTAACCTTCAAATGAAAAATCACAAACTTTACAAATTTAAGGCACACAGACAAATATCTGTATAAAAACAGGACAAATAAACAAAAACAACAGTGAAAGAACATGAAACAGACAAAAGCCAAGACAACAATAAATCCTTTTACATGGAGTGAATGGGAGCATTTTATCAGTGTGAATGGAATCCACGCTTCGGATAATGCACCATTATCAACGTGATTTACTATGACAAGATCAGTGATCTAATGGTTTGAACGTGGATGATACGTGCAGGGATTTCACATCTTTAACAGCAAACTCATCAAAGCATGGCCTACCTTCCACCGCCCTTTTGAAGAACACTTTGCAGCTGCCACACGTCAGAACACCGTAATGGCACCCGGAGGCCTCGTCGGAGCACACCAGACAGAGCTTGGGAGGTGGTCCCGTAGTTGCTGAGGTTGTGGATGGAGAGGAGCTTACATCTGATCTCATTCCAGGGCTGAAACAAAGCAGAAAAGTACTTCATTAAGATCTATGGGATAGAGGCAAACACAACATTGGTACCTGCAGAAATGGCTTGTCCTCACCCTCCAGTGGGACAGTTCTGCACACAAAGTGCACCAGACTCTGAGTGAGTTAAACAAGAAATTCTGTAAAACCTAAGGAAAACTGTATGGATTTTTCATGGCCTATTTGGCTGGGTCAAGATTCCTTCCCTTACACATTTCTGAAGCCAAGTTTCTTGCACAATTATCCCAGCCTTTAAAATTGACTCTTAAAACACGTTCTTACTCCATATTGTTTCCATTACTGTCACATTCCCCGCAGTCTGCACAAGGGCTCCGCTTCCAGCACCATCACTGAGTTTTCTACTGGGATCCTGTTATGCAAGAAGCTGTGCAAGTTGGGCCATATACTGATAAATATTCACGGTAACAAGTGATCGCTTCACCACAGCAGTTTAGGAGAAGAATATATATACATTCCTAACATCAGGGCCTGGTTTTCCAATGTACACACAGCCCAGCTACAAACGAAGGGTTAGTTCGTTAAGAAAAAAAATAAATCCCCGTTAGAACAACAAACATTCCACCGTAATCACCCTGGAGCTGCTCCTAATCCTCAGGGTTGAGCCAGCAGTGCTGGGCCAGAGTTCAGAGGTTGATCTTACTGAGCTGCAGCCCCAACCACAGCACTGCCTGCCGGAGGCTGCCCCACACCTCCTGTAAAGCCCAGCTCGTTGAGTTTATCCACCTCAAGGTGAGGAAGAACTTCTTTCCATGGAGGGCGGCAAAGCACTGGAACAGTTGCCCAGGGAAGAAGTGGAGTCTCCCTCTCTGGAGGCATTCCAAACCCACCCGGACACATTCCTGTGTTACCTGCCCCAGGTGACCCTGCCTTGGCAGGGCTGTTGGTCTGGATGATCTCCAGAGGTCCCTTCCAACCCCAACCATTCTGTGATTCTGTCATTTCCAACAGAGTTTTAAACTCCTAAAATGCAATTTCTATACCGTCTGCTTCACTTAAAATGCTTTTCACAGAAAATCCTGTTCCCCAGGGTTCCAGCCACTCTCCAGATGAAGCTAGAAAAATGACACTTTTGTAAAGACTTTGGTGCCTTTCCTTGGAAACTCTCCAGACCATCCACGTTCCCCAGTGTGGGCTTAACATTCGTATGTGGGCTAGCTTTTGCATGGAAAATTCCTTTTCCTCTCCTCAAGAAAGTCTGACCAGATTTGGTCACACATTTCAAAAACCCCACAGATCTTAAACATTCCCACAAACCTTAAATTCCAGCCCAAATTAGAACATTTCAACACCTGGGAGGCTCTGGTTTTGAACAGGTCCACATGTCCCATCCCCACAGTACCTGAGAAATGCCCCATCTAGCAATTCAAAGGACTTTGCCATTGTGTTTGTTCTTTCCAAGAGGGATTTAGGCAATAAAAAGACAAGGAAAAGGAATGCTCCCACTCAAATACAGAGGGATCAAAGTCAAACCAGAATAAATGTGTCAATGAAGTCCTCGCTTTGACAAAAATGGAACCAGAGGGCAGAGAAAAGTGAAAATTACTTGGGTTAGGGGAAAAACTGTGAGAGCACGGGCAGGCAAAGACCTAGGGTACACGTGGATCCCCCTAAAAAACAGTGTCTGAGCTGGGTGAGGAGCTGAGCTGTCTCTCAGTTAGAGTAGAAGGCTGAGCAGAAAACAAAGCACTGGACAGGGACACAGCAACAGCTCCCATATCCTAGAAGAGCAGTGGGGAGAAGAGAGCAGAACAAGGGTAGTGCAAAGGCCTCAACAGGAAAGGCTGGCAGTGGGAATACAGGAGAATGAGTGAGCCTTGAGGAAAAGGGAAGAAAAAGGCCCCTCTTTTCCCAAAGGAAAGAATGTTTCTTTCCAGAACTTGGAATGGAGCTCAAATCTATCACATTGCTCCTCTGCATTCAGAAAATATTTGTGGAATGCTGCAGCACTTCTCCTCTATTACTCTACCAAGAGGCTGACAACCACCATCAGCATGTCTGTCAGCTCACTGATGGACTGTATCCCTGTTTATGAGCCATGGGATGCCGTTGCTGGGTTTTCCAATTAATTTGTCTTCTTTTAAAGAACAGAAATAATAAAACCCTACGGTTGCACAATCCGCCCCTCAGCATCCAAGCCATGGTGGAATGTAATTCAACCCAGTTCCCTCTATTTGATGTCCTTACAAACATGCATCTTTAATTACACGCTCATCCTGATTTGTACCCAGCACGTCTGCCTTCCTCAAGTGCAGAGACCTCTAGGAATGAACACTGTAAGGATGGAGGTTTGCTTCCTCTCATGTGATACATACATTACTTGCTTCTTTCGTGTGTTTCCCCACCACCACCACTTACTGATCCATTTGGAAAAAGGAACTGAACTGTTTCTTCACTTTGTAGTGTCCTATGCAAAAAATCCCAACTAAAAAACCCCAACACCTACCTCAAAACCAAACAACCTCCCTTCCACAATCAGTAATCACTGGCCAGTCAAGAGCTACTCTAGGATGCCTTATTTTCTCTTAAGTTTTAGGCCCAGTAGCTCCTTTTCTTAGAATAAAAATCTCAGACTAAGCGTTGAAGTATAGGCTGGGAGCCTATGAGTTTAAATAAGGAATATATAACTTGAAAACTTTGCTTCACTAAAGTGATTAAAAGCAGAATAAGATGGAAACATCTTTCTAGGTATAATTTTGAAGACAGCTAATTTAGATACAAAAATAAAACCCTTTATACCTCTGAAATTTCTGACAAAAGCATTTTAAAGGAAACATTCATCAGCTGTCAGGGAAACCATGGCAGTGCCAAACATATTCCAATGAAACTTTTCAATCACCTTTAATTTTTAAACAGGGCTCATTTTCTGTACCAGCACCAAAGAAAATGTAATATGAGAAAGAAAACAGATGATATGACTTAGAAAACTAAAAATAAATGATTACATTGATTAATAAAGCAGTAGCCAGCAATCTAATCTGGGCTCCTGGCATATCTTCCCAGCCTGGCTGTATCAGATAAGGGCAATATTTACTAACCATGTGGAGAACTGCCAGCCACCAACAGCCCCTGGTTGTAAAACACAACCGGGAGGGATTACAGTGCACAAGGGCTCCTGCAAGAGCCACAACTAACTAGAGCAATGTTTAATACAAGTATTTTACTTATAAAGTTATATGCAGTAAAAGACAAACAACCACTTCCTAAGGAAGAGGTAAGACAGGGAAATTACACTCTGAGATAATATACTAATAGAAAAGCTACCTTGCAGTATTTGCAGAAATGGTTTTAAATGCAACAAAAACCTACCAAATTATCAGTCTTACCTAAATTTAAAAAAGTCAAGCGCGATAGATGAGAGAGGGGAAAATCCTCCCAATTTTAAGGGTTCCAAATTTGCAAAAACTTTGATGAAATTTTATTTTGAGAGGCAAGGTGTTATTTGTGATGCAGGTTCCATTCCCACCTACTTTCAAAACTATTTATATACAATCTGATTTTATTTATTTGTATAGATGTAGTTATCATTTCCAGTCAAGGAAACATATGGGGGCAAAATGGAAAGCCTTAACAAAGTGGTTAAAATGGAAAACCTTAATGAAGATGCAGCCCCGGTAACGAGCTCTGCAGAAATCAAGTTGTTTAACTAAAGCCATTTTGGTGTTAATCATTCACCAGAGACTTTCAAACCCAGCTCAAGGGTCAAACTGCACTAAAGCCGGGTGTGGTAATGTTTATGGTGGTGGGAGGTTTTCCTGTCTCGGGGTCTCCATTCTCACAGGTCCCTCATCCTCCCGCATGGGACAGTCCCAGGGCCGGGCGAGTCGGTCACTCCAGCACCTCAGTCCCTGGCCAGGCTGTGACAGCCAAGACAGCAGGGACAGGGACCACCACACTCCCTTCCTGCTACTTTGCATTATTAAAAGGAAAGTCACAGAACTACTGAAGTTTCAAGATTAGGTTTAAATTAGATGTTGGGAAGATACTCTTCGCTGTGAGGGTGGTGAGGCCCTGGCACAGGTTGCCCAGAGAAGCTGTGGCTGCCCCATCCCTGGAAGTGTTCAAGGCCAGGTTGGATGGGGCTTGGAGCAACGTGGTTCAATGGAACGTGTCCCTGATCACGGCAGGGGGTGAAACAGGATAAGCTTTAAGGTCCCTTCCATCCCAAACCATTCTGGGATTCCATGATTGTATGGAAAACAACTCTAGTGAGCTAGACCAAAATTACTGGTCATTTACAGTCTAGAACCTGCAACTCTTTTTACCACCACATGAAAGCTTGGGATAATCAGCCTGGATCACATTCTGCCCAAAATGTGCCCTGCCCAAGCACAGTTCTGGTGAAGGGTAAAGTCTTCTTAAAAATGTGAATTAAATTAGCATCAACAACAAGTTACATATGTGCAACAGAAAGAGGACTTGGTTAAGAACTGTCTGCATTTAAGGAAAATGGCTGCAAGCTGCAGAGTAGGAGCAGCAGCAGCTCAGGAAATCTGGAGGCTGCCAGTCAAAGAGGAGCCGTCAGCTTAGCAGTCATCACCCTTAACAAAAAGAACTTCAGGGAAAATGCATAATGGAATGTTTTTTCAGAGTTACAGACTACTAAAATATACCCTGGTGCTGTTAGAAATTACAAACCCAGCACAACTGCAACTGGCTCCTACACACCTGCAAGAAAACACTGTTCATGCTCAAGTGCCACCTCCAAGGAAAGCAATGAATGCAGCATATCTAGGATGGGCAGAAACAGCTCAGAATTTTACTATATTTATTTTGACTAGGCTTTTGATAGGGCTATTCATTTTACTCCTATTTCTAATCTAGTGTTTCAAATCTCTGAGTTTCCTTCACTCCTGATACACCCAGACCCCAAAACACAGCCCACTGCACGTCCTGGCTCTGCAGCACAACTCACCTCAGGAGTGAACATACTCTTAAAAGGCAGTTACTTATCGGTGCAAATGGTATCAC